TGTGGGGTGGGAGTGGAGGAGATGACAGACTCCTAAAAACTGTCCTTTGACCCCAACATGTGCCATGCATACACACGTGCACACAAACATGCAGAAAAAAAATTTAAATCTAAATATCAAAATAATAAACCAGTCAATAAATGGGCTAACGGAACGAGCAGACAGACCTCCAAAGATAAAGTACAGGGTTGGGGATTTAGCTCAGTGGTAGAGCGCTTGCCTAGCAAGCACAAGGCCCTGGGTTCGGTCCTCAGCCCTGAAATAAAAAAATAAAATAAAATAAAGTACAAATGGCCAATAAACATATGAAAAAAGGTTCAACGCTTTTATCCATCAGAGAAACGCAAACAAGAACTACACTGAGAGTCTTTGTCACCCAGGCCAGAATGGCACTCAGGAAACTATAGATGTGGGTGAGGATGTGGGCAAAAGAGAACCATCATGGTGGGAATGTAATCAGTCTAGCCACTGTGGAGACTCCCCGGAAAGCTAAAAAATAAAAAACCTACTCAGTGGCCCAGTTATGTAAGCCAATATGTCACAGAGACACTGAGCATCAGCATTCCCTGAAGCACTATTCACAATGACCAAGTGTGGTGGTTGGAATAAGAGTGGCCCCCATAGGCTCCTATGTTTGAATGCTTAGTCATCAGGGAGTGGCACTACTTAGAAGGATTAGAAGGTGTGGCCTTGTTAGAGGAAGTGTGTCACTGGAGGTGGGCTTTGAGGTTTCAGAAACCCAAGCCAGGCCCAGTGGCCCTTTCTTCTTCTCCAGCTGCCCGTGACTCTGGATATAGAACTCCCAGCTACTCCTCCAGCACTATGTCTGCCTGTGTGCCACCATGCTCCCTGCCAGGATGATAATGAACGAAGCCTCTGAATCTGTAAGCCAGCCCCCAATGAAATGTCTTCTTTTGTAAGAGTTGTTTTGGTCATGGTGTCTCTTCACAGCAATAGAACCTTGACTAAGACACCAAGTTCCAAAGCCAGCCTAGGTGCCATTCAACAGAAGAATGGATAAAGAAAATGTAGTTTATACACAGAAAGGATTTTTTTTTTCAACTATAAAGAAGAGGGAAGTTGTTTGCAGAGAAATGGGTGCAACTGGAGACACTCATATTAAGAGAATTAAGTGAGTCTCAGAAAGGCAAATATTGCATTTTCTCTCATCTGTGGGTCCCGATCCTTCCAGATACATAGAAGTGTATATACAGATGGCATGGAAGTTGAAGCTTAACTGTCTGGGGAAATGGAGGAAACTAGTTGGAACGGGAGAGAGGGGAGAGCAGCAGGGTGTGGTGGGGAGCTCAGCACCTGATGTGCCTGCGTGGGAGTCTTGGGGGACTCTATAGGATGGCTAGCAGGAAGAGAGGAAGGTGGGCAATGTCAGTGCAAGAGAGGAACTGAGCCCCAGCTCCCGGTTGCCCAGGCAACAAGGGCCCTCTTATAGGAAATTAGAATAAGAGGCCATATACGGATGAGGTAGGCTGCCATTAAGGGAACGATTAACACCGAGTCTGCCCTTGAAGCAGCTGAGGCGTGGGAGAGGTTTGTGTGCAGCTGGCAAAGGAAGACCCCCTCCATGACCAGTCTGTTGGGGCCTGGAGTACTCATGGGTCCCATCTCCCTTAACTGGGGTATGGTGACATGAACAGTGGTGGCCATGCCTGTGGAGTCCAACGACACACCCAAAGAGGTAGGCCAGGTGCCCTGCCCCCACTACGGTCGTCTTACAGGTGAGGACACACAGGTGGGAAGATTTTATACTGCATCCAAGCTCCCACAGCTGTCTGTGAGAGAGGTGGACTTGACAACTGGTCTCTCTGAGATAAAGCCAAAAGTCAGTTTCCAGGCAGGGTGTAGGGGTGCACGAATATAATTCCAGCTCTCAGGAAGCAGGAGGATCGAGAGTTTGAAATCAGCCTGCTCTACATAGCAAGTTCCAGGCCAGGCTGAGCTACACAGTGAGAGCCTGTCTCCATGATAACAAAAGGTCCATCTGCAGAGCAGGCAGCCCACTGAACACCCTGAATGATGTGGTACCCACCTCAACAGGTGACCCCATACCTAAAGCACAGAATCCTTCTCCAAAAATGAACCCCTTAGAGAGACTGAAGAAAACAAGGATTCATCAAACAAGAACAGATAGCTCTGAGAAAGGAGCACACACACACACACACACACACACACACACACACACACACACACACACACATTGGGGTGGGTGCCTGCAGAAGGATGGCCATCCAAGCTGAAGAAACGGCAGAAGCCACAGTTTGGGGCATGCTCTGCCATAGAAGCTTGCACGCACCTACTCACCCACCAGAGGAGGGCCTAATCTGTCCTTCTCCATGGGTCAGGGCACAGGTCGTCTGCTTTTCCTCTGGCTGACCCCACCTTGAAAGTGACTCCTTATTCACCAGAGCGGGTAATGGGGGGAAAAAAAAAGGCATTGTGTTCTGGCTCAGAGCTTCTTCCATGAGTGTGGGGGAGGGGCGGATGCCAGTGTCTAAAGTCCTGACTGATCATCTGTGATTGTGACCTAAATTCAGAACACTCAGGTGGGAGCCGGGTCCCAATGCTGTGCCTTAGGAAGCCACCTCAGCAGAGAGGGTGGGCCTGCAAATCGAGCCTGAAGAAGGGACGGAGCTGATACATCATGCCGAGAGAACAGATCTCCAGATCTCTGCCTCCACCCACGGAGCACCAGCTCTGATTCCCTAAGCCAGTCTGAGTGAGTGGGAGGAGGGTTGACAGCATGATCAGCATGGGCTGCATGGGGACACACACACACACACACACACACACACACACACACACACACACACAGATGAGCATGACTTGACAGAGTCAAAATCCTTCAACACCGATGAGGCTGAGTCCTGGTGATGCCACACCAAGCCTGTGGGTGACCCTGATGTAGGAAGGGGTCCTAGATCGCCAACGGGAAGCTGCATCTCCCCAAGGACTAGAGTCACTTGTCCTTGGGGAGGACTGCACATTGGACGGTGCCCCGTACTCACTGTCTGGGGCATCAGCCTGGAGTATCAGCCTGGAGAGGAACAAAACTATAAAAGCTTTTCTCTCTCTCTCTTTTTTCAATTAATTATTTATTTTATGTATACGAGTGCTCTATATGCATGTACATCTTTATTCCGGAAGAGGGCATCAGATCCCACTATAGATGGTTGTGAGCCTCCATGTGGTTACTGAGAATTGAACTCAGGACCTCTGGAGGAGCAGCCCGTGCTCTTAACCACTGAGCTATCTCTCCAGCCTATAAAAGTTTTGAGGTCACAGAAGCCTGGGTTGCGATTCAGCTTCCGCCATGTCTGGCTGTGTGACGGATGTGTCTCTGGGATTTTCTGATCTCTTATTTCCTTGAATGCAAATAGGAGGATGATTTTGCCCACAAAGAGGAGGGGCTGCGATTCTATCCTTTTTGACTCCTAAAGGAAGGGTTCTTTCCACACACAGCATCGTCTTCTGAGGGGCTAGCAATCACATGCAGCCTCTATCAGGTGGCTGTGCTGTGGTTTGAAGGAGAAATGTGCCCCATGGGCTGCTTTAACTGAACAAATGGGTTTCCATTTGGTGGCAGGTTTGAGAACCTTGTGGAACCTTTAGTGGGTGGCTGGAACCTGACATCCTGCCCCCTCCCCCTTCCTTGTCTCCCTCTCTGCTTCCTGTGTGCACCCTGAAGTGGGATCGGCCAGCTTCCTGTTCCTGCTGTTATGATTTCCCCAGCATGAGCAAGTCTCTCTTGAACCATCAAACAAAATAAATCCTTTCTCCCCCAAAGTTGCTTTTGTGTCCCGGTATTCGGTCTCAGCAACAGAAACGTGACTAATGTAGACTGCTGGCAGCCACATGCAGTGAGTACCACAGGCAGCTGTGCTCCTGGGGCCCCCTCTGAGTTAGTGTCCTTCAGATGAATCATCCTTTGTGCTAATGAGGAAACTGAGTCACCAGGAGGTTGCACCGTGGAGTCTAGGTCACATAGCAGAGCACCAGAACACGCCAGAAGAGAAGTCCACAGCCAGACCCCCTTTTCATCCCTATGCTCTTAGACCTTTAAATGGAGTTATGGAAGAATGATGTTCAGGTTCAGCCGATGATGGACTGCATACACCGTGGTGGTCCCAAAACCCCGGCGTGTATGGGAGATGCTACACCAGGTGTAAGCATGTATATTCCATGATGTCCACACAGCAAAGAGATCACGCAACAAAGCAATCCCTTGCATATATAATGTACCTGTCATTAAACAACATAGGACCATCCTGGCCAGGGTCCCATCATGTTTCAGAAAGCTCTGTAGGAGTCAGGTATGGTGGTGCATACCTTTAATCCCAGCACCCAGGAAGCAGAGGCAGACAGAGCTCTTTTAATTCAAAGCTAGCCTGGTCTACATAGCAAGTTCTAGGCCAGGCAGGACCATATAGTAAAACCTGGTTTTGTTTTTGTCTTGTTTGTTTTTTCAAGACAGGGCCTCACTATATAGCTCTGGCTGTCCTGAAACTTGTTTTTATTTGTGTGTGTGTGTGTGTGTGTGTGTGTGTGTGTGTGTGTGTGTGTGTATGTGTGTTTAATTCTGTAGTTAGGCCTCAGTTATAGTCAGCAAGCCAAGAAGCCCTAAATAGCCTTTGCTGGTGGAAGAGGGCTGGAATCCGGTCCATAGGTATCATGATGGGACTATGGGAATGTGGCAGATGCCATCTGTGAATTTAACCAAGCCCGAGGCCGAGCAGCCAAGCCAGGAGCATTGCATTTCCCTAATCATGCCAAGCATTCTTGTTGCTGTCTAAACCACTCGGCCTATGTGGCCCTCACCGTCTTTCTTGGAAGATGGAGATGCAGTTCAGAGCGTGAGGCAGGGCTCAGCCCCAGGAGTCTGTGGCTTCCTTATCTTATCTGCTTGGGATCCAGGAGGCCTGGTTAAGTTGTGTGAGAAACGGACAGCTGTGTTCCCGCTGCACTGTCCCTCTCCAGACGGCTCTGTCGGTCTCCACTGTTGAAGACACCATGCTCTTTAAAGACAGGACACAAAGAAATCAAGCTGGAACTCAACTGGAAGAAAAATAATCAAGTCTTACCCAGGTACGACCCTTTGAACGACAATAAAGACTGGCCTGGTTAGATGTGACCATTGATGAAATGGTTGCATGTATGTTGTGGGGGTAACCAGCTGCTTTCTGCTTGGATTTGAGGAAGGAACATGTCTGGTACTGTAAACCTGGATGAGTCCTAGCAGCTGGAAAGATCATAGGCTCTAGGGGGACTCGCTATTTTTTTTTTTTTTTAAATTGGACATGTGCTCCAACTACCTTCTAAATATTCACGTTTATATCTATAGACTAGCGATGCTCTCAGCCTTTGACAGAAAAAGTTAGTGCATCAGGGGTGGTTAATGCAGAGACTCATAACAGATTGAAGTGCTGAGAAAAGGGGGCAGTGGGGTGCTTGGCCCTAAATACGTCATCTCAAACACCCCCTCTAAGTCTTAAGGAACAGCAACAAAGAGGGAGAAAAAGGAACGAAAGGGTCACATGTGGAGTCCTGTTGCAAAAAGATATCTTTTGGAGGTTGGAAAGATGGCTCAGCGGATAAGAGCACGTGCAGCTCTTGTAGAAGGCCTGGGTTCAGTCCCCAGCATCCACATTGCAGCTCACAACCACTTGTAACTCCAGTTCCAGGGCCTCCTACATCCCTTTCTAGCCTGCATGGGTACCAGGCATGCATGTGGTGCACGTACAGACACATTCGCACAGGTAAAACACCTCTACACGCAAAATAAAATAAATAAATCTGTTTTAAAAAAATGTCTTCTGGGGCTGGAGACATGACTCAGCAGTTAAGAGAACTAGCTGTTCTTCTAGAGGACCCCGGTTCAATTCCTAGCACCCACATGACAGCTCATAACTGTAACTCCAAGATCTGATACCCTCACACAGACATACATACAGGCAAAACACCAATGCATCTAAAATAAAAATAAATAAATTATTAAAAACCAAACAAAAATGCCTTCTGGACATGACATGGCCAGCGCACTCATGAACCCACTACAACTGTGGTTACCCCAGCAAGGCCCACTCAAGATATTGGGCCTGTTAATATCTCATCAAGGAAGCTGCCTGATGTGGGTGCTGGGAACCCAGCTCTGGTCCCTTGGAAGAGCCGCAAGGGCTCTTAACTGTGCTGAGTCACGTCTCCAGGCCCAGAGATTTATTTTCACTTTATGTGAATGAGTGTTTTGCCTATGTGTGTATAAGTGCACCACATGTGTGCTTGGTGTCCACAGGAGCCACCAGAGAGCATTGGGTCTCTTTGAACTGGAGTTACAAACAGCCCTGAGCAGCCACGTGAGTGCTGGGAACTGAACCCAGGTCCTCTGCAAAAGCAACAAAATGCTTTTAGCCACTGAGCCAGCCTACAAGAATGTGTTCACAAGCTACAGCAGCCCAAGGAAATGGTGCTGAGTTGGGTATGAGTCTTAATCTGTATTTATGCTATTCTTAGATACCTATATTCATCTGTCTGACCACAGAAAATCTTTTGTGAATTTGTATTAAGGAAATTTGACTCTCTGACATCTAAGCGATTGTGAGTACATGGGCTTCTAAAACTTGGTGTATCCAGAACTTTCCATCCTCATCGTCCAGCACTCTGTGGTCATTTGTCAAGTCTGTAGTGCAGCCTTGTACATGAGCAATGGGATTACTGATTTTTTTTTAAAGCAGCTAAGAAAATAAATCAACATTTTTTGTTTGTTGGTAAGAAGTTGATGGTGTGTGTGCGTATGCACACACATATGTAAATAAATGAAAAATGTCGGAGAGAGCGGCGGTATTTGGCTAAGACTAAAGGCACATTGAGAAGGAAGGTGGTGGAATTAGATGTTGATACAGTAGGCGTTTCAAATGTCACGCCTCGGTGGTAATGGGAAGGAAGGGAAAAAAGACAAACGGCTCCTTTAGAACATATCAATTTATCATTTTCCCATTGGCAAACACTGAAAAGAGCAAGCGAGACTGTATGCTTTTCCTTGAGAGCTGCCCTTTGCTTCCCAGAGCGATGGAGTTTGGTCTGATGTCAAGGTTACTATGGAAACGATGTATGCTTATGAGCAGCAAAGCAAATAGACATATAAGACTCGGGTAAATCATTAATTCATTAATATTATTACTGATGGCGTCTGGAGAGACTTACATATTCCTTCTTTCTTCCAAGCTCTCAAAAGTTTTCTTTCATCACAAAACAAACACCTGGATGGCCACTTCATGGATAATTATTCTCTCTTTGCCTCATACTCCAGAGACGAAGAAGGGCTCCCTTTCGGATCTTAACGGATCAAAGAAAACGGTCAGTCAGGACAGAGAAGTGTGCTTCATGGGTTTTCTTGCTTGCTTTTTTATTTTTTTTAATTTTTAATTGATGGCTGTGGTTTTTTTTTGTAGAGAATAGAAAATGCATTAGGAACTTAAACATAAAGCCCCTTCAAGTTTGCCAAACAGGCTTGAATAGGAGGCGAGCCACATGGCCTGGCCCATGAGCATGTCTGTTTCAAAGAAGTCTTTTCCCATGATTGGATTTCATGGCAACAGAGCAGTAGGGCCAGGAGGAGCTGATAAGAGGTGCCAGCCTCAGGGGCTGTTGAGGTGCAGAGAGAGCTAGCTGCAGGTGCTGCCTGCCATCAAGCACCTGTGAATCCCTGCATGCCTGAGACAGCATGGCCTGAGGCTGGCCCATCCCCAGGAGGCGATTGTTGTGACAGGCGCCAGCGTCCAGCTCTCTGTCATTCCGGACCAGCAGGCTACAAGGAGTTGGTGTTCTCTCCTCTTGCAGTTACAGGCAGAGATCATCAGTGATGGAGAAGCAGGCTGAGGCAGCTGGAGTCTCTCTTCCCCGCTGACCCTCTTGGTTCCCTCATATGCCTCATTTTTCACTATTGCCTTCTTCCATCAAACCCCACACATCCGTGATCACGGCACCTAGAGTTGCTCCAGGGAGGAGCAACTTGGGGTAGAGAGGGCTAGTCCAAACCCCACATCCAGCTGGGGGTGGTGGTGCACACCTTTAATCCCAGTACTCAGGAAGCAGAGGCCAGCCTGGTCTACAGAGAGAGAGAGTTCCAGGACAGGCTCCAAACCTGCACAGAGAAACCCTGTCTCAAAAACAAAAACAAAAACCAAACAAACAAAAACCCACATCCACGGGAACTACCTGGAGCTCTGCCTGCCTTGCTGTGTGGCCTAAGCCAGTTGCTTTACCTCTCTGTGCCCTAGCTTCCTCCTCTACACACGGTCCAATCACTCACCGGAAGGACTGCTTGAGAGCATTGCACACACAGCTAGTGTCACACCAGCAATCAAAGTGGAAGCCCGTGAGACTGTGGTGCAATTGGCAACTCATCCACCATTTTTTTCCCCTTTCCAGGTGTCTTCTGGGCCTCCATAGAAGCTCACACGAGGAAGGGCTCTAGGTTTTATTTAGTGTTCCCCTTGGTCAAGCAGGACAAATTATCGGAACCACTGTGTTTCCTCTCAGGGCGAGCTTGCTGAGGTGCAGGATGCCAGGGTGAGACTTGCCCCGCATATAGCCATCAGGGAAAGAAGGCGGGAAACCTATGTGAGTTGACAAAGCTCATGCCTAGCTCCCTCGAGGGTGCACTGGAGATGGAGACACCTCCCTCCTGCTACTGCTTGCTCTGTGGTTCTCAGGTCACCCGAGAAATCAGCTGGATACAGAAGCCAGCCACATCCCCCAGAGATGGGAACTGGAAAGGTCCGTGGTGGGGC